ATTAATACTTAATCAGTTAAGTATCAATTAATACTCTTCAATGAGGATTCATTTCATTCATGTGCGTGCCCACCTGGACATTGCTGCAGCAGGTGGCAATGGCTCGACAGCCTTCACGCCATCCTTCTCCCTCCGGCTGGTCTCTGTCCTGCGCCAGGGGAGCCCGTATCAGCTGCCCGACTCCCTGGGGCCGCTTTCCGCCCCTCTTTGCCAAAATCCTTTCCTTAAGCTGCTCCCTCTCCTCCTTTCCCAGCTGGGCTGAAAGCTGCAGGCGCAGCAGAGCTGGCGCGGGTACAGTGCCCCTGGGGAAGCTCCTAAATTGCCATTTCAGCCCCCGCGTGGTGGTCCTCAGGCTCAGCATGGCAAATACATCTCCGTGGGTGCCTGGGGGACCACCCTGAGCTCTTCCCAGCACCCTTTCTCCCTGAGAGCAGGGGGGCTCTTTGGGGGCTGGGGTACAGTCCCAGGTGTTAGCCAGCGAAACCCCAGTTAGGCAGGCCGGCAGGTTAATGCTGGTTAGGGCCGGGGAATCGCCAAAGCCCACCATGGCTGCCTGCAGCAGCGCTCAGATACCACCACCAAAACTGCTCCTCCAGAACCGGGCGATCAGCCTGAAACCCTCCACCGGCCGGCAGCCACCCCCTGCACAGCAGCAGAGGTCCAAGCGGTCCAGCCCACAAAGCCCTTCTGCGTGGCACCGGCTGCACTGCCGTGGCCAGACCCGGCCACCAGCTGAATGGTTCCTCCCAGCTCCTCAGAAACCAGTCAACCCATGCTTTAAGCACCTGGAGGACTGAGCACACTGCCGGCAGCCCTGTGCCCGAGCACCCCTCCATCTCCTGGATAACACCTTCTCTCGGTCCTCAGCCATCACCGGTTTGCCTGACGCTCACCACTCAAGGCTACAGGGCGCTGCTCTCACCCCAGTTTGCTTTTGCAGCCAGCTCCAGCAGCCTGCCCAGCCCGCAGCGGCACAGAGCCTGTTTCCCCCCCTCACGTTCCCTTTCACCGCTGCCCTCCTACCCATCTGTGGGTGACCGCCAGGTCCCACCAAGAGCAGGGTGCTCTCTCCCACGCGTGAGGTCCACCTTGCTATATAGTTTAACCCTGTTGGGATCAGATGGCCAACCCTTGCTTGGCTTTTAACCTCTCCTCAAACTCTGCCAGACTTTCCAAGGAATTACACTGCACTGTCTCCAACTCAACAGCAGGGAGTTACGGTGGGTCCTGAGGCTTCAGCCTCCCAGCAACTCTTACGCTTGGTCTTACGGCAAAAGGAAAAAAGGAGATGCCTAATCTACTGAGTCTCCTGCTCTCCATGGCTGTAAGCCCTGTAGGGAATGAGGTACGGTACAGGTATATGGGAGAGTTACCTGCTCCGGTAATTGCCGGCATATTGAAAATCTCTGTTCCAGGCTGCCCAACATCTGGAGAAAAACAAAGAAGCTCTTCAGTACGGAGAGCAGCATGTGCAGGCTGCCGGTAGGGAGGGACCTGCCGTGCCAGCCACGACAAGATCCTGGTGTCCCCATCACAGCACGCGGGCTGAGTAGCCCACCTCCCCCAGGCACTGGGGTGGGTCTGCGGGTGCCGGCTGGGACCAGGAATAATTGCCTTTGGGGGAACCACAGTGGGCATGTCTCGCCAGCTGGGAAAGGGCAGAAAAGCAGAGCCCAGAGAGCCAAGGCGATGTCTTCGTGCTCAGCGCTGACCTCCCTCTCTCCAGCCCTTCGGATTACAAGCTCCGCAAAGTTAAACCCTCTCTCCTGCCTACGGGATTTCCAAAGGCTCAAATCCCCATATCCAGGGAACAGGTCTGGGCAGTGGGGAGGGCGGGGAGGAGGAGAAGAAATGTTAAATCAATATTTTCCCTCTTGGCTGAGCTGTTTGACTTGGATATCACTTTCCTTAGAATAACAGAAATTCTCATCAAGTAAGAGGTGTTTCCTATTTCTATATATTTTCCCTTGATAAGGGAAAGTGTGGAAGGTCACGGGGTTCAGCCACATGTCCCCAAAGGGGCATAACAATACTGTTGGCTCATGGTAACATCATCCAGGAGACGAGACAGCTCGGTCCCTCTTATCCGATGCAGCTGTTGTAAGATGGATTCAAATTGAATTAGTATTGACTGTATAATGCTGGGCTAAATTAAATTATGATCCTATCTACTCTATTAGCGGTTAATGAATGAACGGTCTGAATTTCTAATACAAGCCAGCCTGGTTAGTTTTACAGAGCTATACCAATATTGATGTAGGGCTTAAAGTAACACTGGGGGGAGACGCATCTCAAGGAGGAAGGATTCAGCTTGGCTGGCCATTCATTAAAATATCAATTGCTCTTAAGTCTCCTCCATGCTCAGCTCATTATTTCCTTCCTATTGAGGTTATCTGGTGGGGGTGGGACTGACAGCCCCAGAGCAAGGAGACAAGGGGCTGGGAAGCCTCCCATCACCGTCCCAGATGCACACAGCCACTGCTGGCACCAGCATGGCTCATCCCAGGAAACACTGGGACATCGCACTTCCCAACAAACCATGGCATGATGCAGAGAGCGCTGGCTGGGAGCTGCCAGCCCTTAACACAGCAGCACCCATTCCCAAATCTCCTTTGCTTCATGTGTCCTCAAGGCTTTTTTCCCCCCCAGTGCCCCACATTTGCCTCCCCACATGTCCTTACTGTACTCCGTTTCATTTTTGTTGGTCGTGCTGAGCTTCTTGATGATCTCCTGTTTCTTGGACTTCACCATGGCAGAGTTGCTCTCAGTCAGCTTGCTGAAGAAAGCTGGAGGCTGAGTGTTGTTTCCTGGGGACTTGGACCCCATCCTGCAAAGCAAAAGGCCATTGGAAACCTCTGCAATGTCCAGTTCACAAAGTCGTACCTAGAGAGACTCTTAGCGTAAGCCCTCAAAATCAGCCTGATGGCTCCCAAGATATTCTGGATCTCCAGCCTTTCTCGCTATCTCTACCATAAATGTACCACACGGTGTTGAAAAGCTCCTACAAACAGACAGCAACCGGGGATGTAACCTTGCTTTTGGCTGCAAGAAAAGCAGCCTGGGCCAAGGCGAGCGTGGGGATGGGGGGAACATCCCCTCACTGTCTCCACCGTCCCTTCCCTTGGCGTTACCTCTGGTCTATCTGCTCGCCCTCGCGGTACAGGATCGGGTACGTGGCGCTCTTGGCGTGCTCCGATTCTCCCACGCCGTCTGGTGGAGAGACCGGCTCGATACAGTTGTCCGACCCGCTCCCAGCTGAGGCTTTGCTCTGCTCTGGGGACCTGTGGAGAGCGATGGGGAGATGCAATTGGTTTATTGCAACATCCTCTGATCGGGGGGGTCGGGGGTGGGGGAGAAGGACTAAAATAGGTTTCCTACAGCAGGGAAAGAAAGCCAAACCTTCCACACCCCTGTGGGCTTATGGCACCTTTTAATGCAAGCTGGAGGGAAAGCACAGCTTGGGCATTTTTCTGCACTGCAGGCGTGCAGAGCAGGACTGAGCCGAGATGTAGCCCAGATTTCCAGGCGGTGGGCCAGCCGGCAGCCACCCCAAATACAGCTGCCCATGGCAGGACCAGTCCTGGGACTTGCTGCCTCAGCCCAAGTGTCCCTCGCCGGCAGGGACACAATCCCTGCGGAGGGCTGGGATGTTAACCTTTTGGGGACATGGCTTTTGATTCTCCATCGTAATTGCAGACACAGGGGAGGGCAGCACCCACCACCTCCCGTCCACCTTGTCTGGGGCCGTGCAGGGGCTCGCTGGCTGCAGACGATGAGTCCCGTCCTGGGACAGCCTGGAGAGGACCAACACAGCCCCCCGATGCCTGCCCGTGGCCAGCACCTGGGAGACGGCCAGGCTCAAGTCTGCGAGGAATTCCTCACGGCAAGTTCTGGGAATTTACGTCTTTGTTCTTTCTGTGGTTTCTCTTTTTTTCCGCACTTTTTTCATCGCTGGGTGGCCAGGGCTGGGCTCTCTCCCCTAATGTTACAAAGCCAATTCCAGGACCAGGCAGAGCTGGGAGTAATAATCCCATTAATCACAATAAACACATCAATCCAAACCACCGGTTTGGAGACACCACCCTTTCCTGGATGCATCTGGGTCTCTGTCGGTGTTTGGGTGGGACGACAGACCCCATTCTCACACTTCCCATTTTTTAACTCTGTACAACAGCAATCAGACCTCCTTGTGCTGGTATCAGCACAAGGATTTGAAAGTGATTTTAAAAGAAATACAGGTGGTGCCTGAAATGGATAGTTGCAGTTGAGACGGCACATGTGTTGAACAAGCTTCTGATTCACTGACACTGATGAAGATAAAATTAACTTTGAACCAATAGAAAACGTTGCTTTTTGGGTTTTTGGGAACCATCTGTAGTCTGAAAGGTCACTGCACTGTGATCTGCCAGGGACCGAGAACAGTGACAGGACAAGAGGCAACGGGCACAAACCAAAACACATGAAATTCCCTCCTGACACAAGAAAACACTCTTTTACTGTGAGGGTGCCCGAATGCTGGTACAGGTTGCCCAGAGAGGTGTTGAAGTCTCCATCAGTGGAGATACTGAAAACCCAGCTGGCCATGGCCCTGGACAACCTGCTCCAGCTGACCTGCTTGAGCAGGGCGTTGGGCTGGATGGGCTGGAGAGGTCCTTTCCCATCGAAACAATTCTGTGACACCAGCCAGATCGGGAAGGGGATCATGCATGGACTCTAAGGGGGTCTGGACACATCTCTAGAACAACAGGAATGGCAAGAGAGGCACCACCACAGGGGAAATACGCCCAGATCAGGAGGCAATTTTACACTCTGGGCCGTGTAAGCAAGCGATCCATCTGAGCCCTGAGCTGGGGAGCATGAATTCAGCAACGCCAAATGCCAGCCTGCCCTATGCACTGCCTTACCGGGGTACCAGGTAGCCAAGGGCACCCACTTGGCTCCTCACCCTGGGTAGCCCTGCTCTGTCTGAGCTCAGATTGGCATGGTGGGTGGGCAGAAACCCATCTGCCCCAGGTTTGGTTGGACTCTCTGATCTCACCTTTTGCCGCCTTCATTCTGTGGGGAGATCCTGGAGGCCGCTGCGTGCTCCTGCTGCTGCAGATACGCCTCGCTGGGGGTGCGGCGCAGGTCCAGCACGGGGCACGTGGCCCCGGGGAAGGAGTACACCGGGGTCTGGATGTGGGAGTTGAGCTGCTGCGGGTGATGGCGTGTGTAGTCCTGCGTGATGACCTCCTAGAAGAAGAAACCCCCAAGTCAGAAATAGAGGTGTTTTCTACCTCTTGCTTTGCTGGGCTCAACTAAGACAGGGCAAGCAGCAGGGAATTAGGCTGTTCTGTCCCTGTGGGGATGTAATGTCTGCCTCCTGCCTGCAGCAGCTCTCTTGATGGGCTTGTGGGGGACGGAAACACCTGGGCTGAACATGCATGATGCACCCTGCTCTCTCCAGCCCCTAACCAGGGGTGCTGAGGTCTCTAGCATCACTCCCAGACCTTCCCCATCAGACATGTTTCATATCAGCTCTTCCCTCCTCCCCAGAGCCCCAGCAGGAAGGTGAGAACGAGCTTAATTACACTGATGTGCTGGGCCAGTGTGACCACCCGCTGGTTCATGCCCTTGATGCTCTGGCTGGACTGCAGGGGCTGGCACTGGGGCTGGGGGCCGTCGGACTGCCGGAGGTGCTGCAGGTGGGCTGCTTCGGGAGCCGAGGCCTTCAGCGAGCCTGGGGGATGCACAAAGAAGAGAGCAGGTGTGAGATGACGTCTGTGTCTCCTTCCCCAAACGCCATTCCAGCACAGCAGTGGGGCATGGCGAGCAAGAGCTGGATGATGAAGCCCCCCCATGCCAGCTCAGGCTCTCCTGTGCCGGCTGGCACTGCCAGCCCCTGCCCTCACCTTGCTGTTTCTGCCTCAGGTCATGGTCCCCGTGCCCTTTCTCTGCATCCTGCAGCAGCTTGGCCCCCTTCTCATGCGACAGGTTGGGCGAGCTCACGGGACTCACTGCTTCCATCCGCTCAGGGCTGTAGCCTCCGTGAAAGCCTGGGGAAACAGGAGAAGGGAGTTAAAACCAGGAGCTCGCTTGGCTTTTCCCTAGTGCTGTGGCAACCATCGCCTGCAGGTAGAGTCACACATTCAGCAAAGGGGGGGGGGGGAAAGAGATGAGGGCAGACCTGGCAGGTCACATTGCAGGGACCCCCGGAGCCAACTCTGATACCCAGTTGTGGTGATGGCTGCAGTAAAGAGGTGATGTCTCATTCTTGCAGAGCTGGACACTCAGCAGCTCGTGGTGACAGCACGAGAGTCAGGAACCAAATTCATCCACTGTGGGTGCACAACTTGTTCCCCCCCTTTCCCCCATCTACTGAAACAAAAATAAAACCCCCACTATGCCAGGAGGGAAAGCAATGCTCTGCAGGGGTGGAGGTGGCTGCACGGGAGGTCTCAAGTGCTTTACAAAGAAAAGCCCCAAGCCCAGCATGGCCAAGAGCAGGGACTTGAAAATGGGGTGTGAGGCCCTGCAGACTCCAGATCTTGCTCCAGAGGCAGCAGACTCGCACACCGCAGGGGCAAAAAGGCTTCTTGACCATTCTCTGCCTTTTAAGCCCTTTGCATGGACTCAAGCTGCATCAAAGCAAGCAGAGCTGGAATGAGGGACCACCATTATCATTCAACATAGGGGAAACTGAGGCACGGATCGGTTACGCTTCCACAGACCAGGGGCAGAGGACGGAGGAGTCCTGGAGGAGGCACACGCTGCCTCTTGCCAGCTAAGCACGTTTGGTAATGCTCACGACTTTTGCCTCCACAGACCTTTACCCTCCTAACGCTCAATTCCTAGAAACTGCCCACTGCAGGCAAATCTGGCAGGCGACCCACAGCGCTGCCGGAGGGTCCCTGGTGCCCAGGCACGGACACACTGACCTTGCACGTACGCAGGGCACGCACAGGGGGAGGACCCCCATGGAGAACCTCCCTGCGCTGGGGATGGGGATGCAGCATCCCCCATCACCCCATGCATGCCAGCACTGAAGAGACCACGCTTCGGATCCCTCCAGCTCCAGCTGGAGGGAAAAAGGTGGAGGAAAAGCTCAGCCAGGCAGCGCATCGTGGCCAGAGGCACATCCTTGGCCCTGGAGCACGCTGCTAGAAGGGACTGGGACCAGACATGACCAAGTGGTGGGATGGGTGGGTTGGGATATGCCAGCGAGAGCAGCCCTCCTCCCCCAGCCACGCTGCTGTGTCCTTTCCACCCTTGGGTTACAGGAAGGGGAGCTGGGTAGCAACCTCTAGTGCTGACGGCCAAGGCAGATGCTTCAACTTGGAGAAGGGGTCCCATCAAATCCCCGCAGGCTGCCTGCTGCTTCTGTATGCTGGTGAGAGTTGGGATGAATGCGCTGGGTGAAGATTGGTCCCATCAAGAATGACCTAGACCTTGAATCCAGCCCCCTCCCTGCACTTCCTTCTGGAGAAACTTATCCCAGCGCTTTTGTGTCCTATACAAGATTGCTGTTAAGTGGTTCCTGTGGTCTGCTCTGGAGACGGCTGCCGAGCACAGCTGGGCTGAATGATCCTTGGACAGCCCTGCCTGCGTTGCCCTCTTGTGCAGCACCCAGCACCAGGACCCCGAGCGCGGTCACCCTGAGCGAGGGAACCCCATCTGAGCTGCATCGTGCAGCAGCCCGCAAAGCCCCGAGATCCTGCATGCTCAGCGGCACAACTGTGAGCGGGGAGGCGCATGTCTGATGGCCAGCAGCCCTGTCCCGCTCACGCTCACGGTTCTCCGCTTCGCTCGTTTGATTTATTACCCACAACTGTTCCTTACAGACTGCTTAGGAATTTCTAAAGATGGGGAAATCAGAATTAGCAAATTGCTATTGTCTGTAAAAAGCAATACCAGGAACTGAACGTTTGCAAAACAGGACTTGGCAACAGGAAAAAATAAAAGAGGGTGGGAGAAGGGAATATCCCTAAAACACACACAAATAAAAAAGTCTGGAGTAACAACAACCGGGAAGCAGAGGGACAAGCACACTGGGGGAGCTTATGAAGCCAATAGCCAAAACGTGCAGCTAAAAATAAGAAATAATGAAATAAAATGGGTTTCAGGCCACAGCTCTCTCGCCTCTCCCCTCCAATTTCTTACCATCGCTAGCGGAGTCGTTACTTAGCGAGCCTCTTTCTCGCTGCCCCTTATCGCAAGACATTTGGCGCATGATAATCACATCTATGAAGTTGGCCGCTGTCGTGGTGGTCTTACCGAGTGCTCGGAGCTCCTGTTCCTGCATTGAAAAGGGTTTACTTTGACTCTTTTCTCTACTGTGCTGCTCGGGGCCCGAGGCTGCGTGCTGCTGGTCCAGAGGGTGATGGTGCTGCTGACTTTTCCCCTGTCCTCTGCTATAGTGATGAGAAGAACCAGGTCCGGAGCCAGGTAAAGGTCTTGACTCCATGGCTTTAATGGGTGAAGGTGACTGTTCAAGGTTGGCCCCACTGGGCAGCTTTGAGGTGAAGACGTTGTTGTCAGTCTGGGGTCGTTCTGCCTTGGCTTCCCGTGCCCGCGAGGCCTCTTTCTGCAGGGCAGCCGGGTCCATCAGGGCCGCGTAGCCATCCGCCGTGCTGATGGAGGAGCGCAGGGTGGAGGGGAAGGCGGCAGAGCGGATCGGCGACGTGGTAGTAGTGGAGGAGGATCTGGAAGGCAAATGAAGACATGGTGAAGATGAGAGAAGCATGTGGAGAAAAGGGAGTGCTGTTACCAGGGCCCTGGCATTCAGCCCTGCCTGACCAAGGTCTCCTGAGCGTAGGGCTGGCCCATGCTGGAGCAGGTGAGGAGGGCTCAGATGGAGCCTCCACCACAGTAACTGGCCACAAGGTATTGGCTGTGGCCTGGATGCATCGACTGGGGAGAACAAAACCCACAGGACAGGTTCCAGAGACCTTCATAACTTCACCACCAGGCAACTTTCAGCAAGCGGAGCGATGCCCTCTTGCCTATGCTATTTGAGCACAGACAGACCTGGGATGCTCCTGCTTTCTCTCCTGATAGCAGGAAAAACCATGAGGAAAAGCAAAGGAACTGGGCACCAAAATCTACCTCTCCCCATCACAACTTCCCTGTAAGCCCCAATCCTGTTCCTACTGAGACTGAAGGCCAAAACAACCCTCGCTCCATCTCAGAGGTGCCCCATGTGACGTTCATTAATTAACCACCATGGTTGCCCCGGTGCAGGGGTCCAGGCAAGCAGCAGGAACGGTGGTGGGGACACATACCGCAGGACGGAAGGGGTGGGGGTCTCCGAGGAGATGATCTTCATGCTCGTGTTGTGGAGCACGCTGGGGCGCTGCTGGATTGTCTCGTGGGCACGGGGTGAGACAGGAGAGTGCTGGTGGCTGTGCGAGTGTGAGGACGAACGGCTGCTGGACTGCTCTGTACCTGGGGGCAAACACAAAGAAGGGCTTCTTTAGCTCTTCGTTTTCTAGTCCCAACCCTACCTCCATCCAGCATGGGCCCCAAGATGTGGTGCTGGGCTCCTCCCCAGTCTACCTGGTCTCCAGATGGGTGCATGCTCCACCGTCGTGGATGCTAGGATGGATTTTTCACGCTCCCTCTCTCGTTCCCGCTCCCGTTCACGTTCCCGCTCGGACACCGATGATCCTGACTGTTTGGTCATGTGCGTGGGGCCTCCTGAAACCCAACCGAAAGGCAGTGAAAGGGCTGCAGACACAGTGATTCCCCCCGGGGAACACCGCCTGCTCTTCACATTGCTGTGTCTGCAGAGCAGATAAGGAATGGCTCCATCCAAGGTCACCTGGAGCAGGACAGATGGGGGCAACCAGTGTGACAAAACCCAGGCAAATCACCGAATCGCTGTCCTGGTGCTGTCTCCAGGGTACAACCTTCTGCAAAGCTGTTTGCCAGCTGCCACTTTGGGGAAGAAGAGGGAAAAGCAAGGAATCCCCCAACAAGCAGGATCAGAAGAGCTGGTTTGAGGGAGCCAGTGGGCTGGTGCCTGGGTGAGAATGAATTTGGGCTCCCCCCATCTGCCCCGGCATGCTGAGCTCATGGCCCTGAATTGGTTAAGGGCATCCTGCCCAACTGCTTTCCCATGGGAAAAGCAACCTGCAGCATTACCTGGGGAGAGCGGGGAGCTGCTGTGCCGGCTGCCAAAGGTCTGGGGGGGCCCGGGGATGTAGGTGATGCGGTCCATGGTGGTGGCGGAGGTGCCGGGGGTGGGGGGCACGAGGACGGGCAGGTGTGGCACTTGGGACAGGTCAATGATGCCTGGAGAGAGAAACGAGAGGACTGTCAGGATGACACGGAGCCGCTGCAGCTTGGCCGCACTGGAGCGGGGAGCGATGCTGGGGAGGGTCGACCCGTCTTGCCGCTCTGGTGCAGCGCAGAAGGTGCCAGCGAGCACATGGACCCCAGGCACTGGTTCTCAAGGGAGGGGACCCTTCTGTGGGCAAATACAGCGTGTCCTGCTGCTGGGAATAATGGGGAGGAAAAATGCCGAGATCTATCCCTGCTGAGCGAGGGGGCTGCAGGTGGCATCAGCCGCAGCTCCCCCCAGCCGGAGACCAACGCTGCTCTGCCTGCGGAGGGGCTGGAGCACTGCACCGCACCCCGCACACTTCCCAGCACGCTCCACTTTTTGCAGAAAGCCAGATATCCTGCTGGGAGTGTATTTTAATCTCCAAAGGCCAGCAGGGCCAGGCTGGGAAGTGCTCCCATGACCCAAAACCAGAGCTGCATGTAAGGAGCCTCAAGTAACTAGAAGATGACAAAAAGAGCATCAAATTCCCCCTGGCTGTCCTCCATGCTGACCAGACAAGTTCCTACACTGCTGGGTGTCACTGTGCTGCTGGCTCGGCCCTTGGACCCAGTGCTGGAGCTGGCAGTGCTGGCCTGACCCAGCCTCCTCCTCCCAAAATGCCTCCAAACCCCTGGATGGTGCCATGCCGGGAGGACCTGCTGCATAGTTGAGGGCGAGGGAGGGCTCCCGGGGCGACAAGCCGCGCAGCATGTCCGCCCGCTGTGCCATGGCCGTGGCGGCGGCGTTGTGGTGCATCTGCTGCGATGTGATGTAGTCGTTGATGATGGTCTGTCGGTTCTCCATGGCGGCTGTGTCCGGGTAGCCCCGGATGAGGTATGGGGGGTAGAGGTGGGGGTACGTGGGGCTCGGAGCCAGATGCCTCGGCAGGTAGTAAGCAGCAGCTGAGAGAGAAAAGGACGCAGTCGTGAAGTGGCTTTTCCCAGAGACCTCAGGCTTTCTGAGCACGACAAGGAAAAAACTAATCCCAAAAAGATCGTGCCCCCACCAAAGGTACCTGCTTCCAGTTGGATTCCCCTCGGGATGGCGGCAGGGTCGAAAGCCAGCGGGATGTGCCCTCGGTACAGGTCAACCCCGCTCACGCCACGGAGCAGGTGCTCGTACGGGGAGATGGGGTGGTGGTGGTCGGCCACGGGGGCATGCGGAGACTTGGAGTTGGTGAGCTCTCTTGACGTGGGGGTGATCTTTCTGTCCTGGGACACTGGCTTCCCGGCAGTGATGCTCCCTGCAGTGAGCAGAAGGAAATGAGTCAGAGACTGAGTGCCGTGGCCAAGCCACATCCCTGAGGGGTGCCTGTGGCCAAGTGTGTCCCCCAGGGACACCCGCAGCTCCCCTTGAACTTGAGAGACCTTTCCCTCCTCCCTGCACCGCCATGCCCCGTTACGCCACCAAGGCCAAGGCAGGCCAAGCCCTGGTCGCACCCAGGAGAAGTCTGTCCCCAGCCATCCCTCCACCCCAGCGCATCCACACCGGGCAGTCTGTGAGTTCATCCTGGCCTGTATAAGCAGCTGGCAGTGGAGCCCTGCTGCCATGCTTCTCGACACGAGGAGGTCACTGCTGCCGGGCAGAGCCAAGGACCCCGAAACTCCTGGCAATGGTGACAAAATGCAGTTCAGAGGGTTTGAGCACCCACCACCCTCTGGAGCTGTAAGCTCTTTCCCAGCACATGGAGGGGAGGTTGGATCACGTCAGGGACTTCTCTCTGCTCTCCCAAGCTGAGCTGGGCATTGGTGGTGCTTCTTGCTCCACCTGGGATGAGCATCACCAGCTCCCGTGTCCATAACACGGAGCCACCCCCAAGGAGCGTGACCAAACCCCTTGCACCAGACTGCACACCAAACGCTGCCTGGCCCTGGCCTGGGGAGCAAGGAGCAGCCCCTCGGGCACACGCAGATGGATCCAGGCCTGTTGTTGCTGACTTTAAGACAACCTTGACTGAAATACGGGCCATGTGAACTGTTGCTCCCGCTTCTTTCATGAAGCTCAGTGTCTCGGCGAGGCCGCTAATAAATCAAACCTACTGTCGGGGCAGAAGGAAAGCTGAGGAGACTCGGGAAAGCTGCCTTCCCACTCCAACCCATGCCCTGGGGACTCCTCCTGCAGATCCCCTGCACCCCAGAACCCTGTGAGCTCCGGACATGCAGAAATCCACTTTCTCACTGGCATTTTGCAGGAACATTTTTTCCTTAGGATCCCTCCCCACCACCTAGGCACTGTCTCCCCTGCCTTGTGATCACTGTATGTGCCAATCTCAAAGAGCTGCCAACATCTGAAGGCTTCCCCCAAAATGACTGACCTAACCAGGAAGGCAGCAGAGGCTGTGGCAATGGGACACGCCAACCACGAAGACCTGGAGCTGGCCCAGCCGGCACCGAGTGGTGGGGAAGGCTTTCTGGGGGAGCTCTGCACTGCACAGCCCCATCTCCCGCTCCTCGCCAGGAAGGCGCATCTTGGCCTCAGTTTTGGCAGGCTGCGGTGTCTTGTGCTGCACGCCCCCAAATCATGAGACTTTTTGGGTTAGGATAAGGATTTGCAGGTGGGAGATGCAAACAGCCCCGAAGCAGTTACCCGTAGCTAGCAGGCTTGGTGGGATAACGTGTCTTAGAGACTGGCTTCAGCACTGATCCTGCCCACCAATGTGGCATGAAGCAAGAGGGTTTTCTGTGCTCTGGATCTGAGCGTGTCTCACCCGATCACTGAGCACAGCCCAGACATGCGCCTGCTCCCCAGGAGCCCCAGGTCTGGCTTTGGGGGCAGAAGATGACTGATGCCAGGGGGCACAGGCAGATGGGCTGGGGGGATGGCAGATCCCAAAGGCCAGCCACACTGCCCGGATGCACCAGCTCAGAAGGGATTAGATGTTCCTGGAGGTGAGGTACTCAGGTGCCCAGGTGATGGACGAGGCATAAACACACGAGGTAGGCAAACACACACCAGATTGGTGAAAAGCATGAAGATCCCCCCACCCAGTGCACCAAGCACTGCTTTCCTGCCTGCTTACAGAAACAAGGGTGCCTGGGCCAACACCGGGACAGGGAAGACACTTTCTAAACACCATCAGCTTTACCAGCTGTCCAATCTCCCTTCAGTCACCCTGGCACAGACGTGGGGTGGCCTCACTGCAACCGTGTGAGCACCCTTGGGGAGGGAGCTGAGCTTTAGCCATCCCTGACAGCTACCCCAGTGCCATGAGTCAGCCGCGGCTGCGGGCAAGAGTGGGTGCAGGGTGCTGGGGAGAACGGGTTCAACGGGCACCTGCCGGGAACGGCTTGGACAGGTGGGGTCAGCAGCCACCTCCCACGCACCTTGCCCGCTTGGCTTGCTAGAAATCTTAGTATCAAATAAAAGGTTCACCAAGTACCTTCGTGCTGCCGTGGCGTGGACTCCCGTGTGGAGACTGGAGACCCTCTGTGCAAGTGGCTGCCGAACGCCGTGCTGTGCCCTGCCTGGTGGTCCTCGTAGGCAAGGGCACTTTGGTGGGGCTTGCCCGGCTCGGGTACAATCACAGGAGCCCCTCTGGCAATGGAGCCACCCGAGTTTGTCACTGGGCTTGGCCTGTTTTTCAGGCTCTCTTCGTAAGCTCTCTCCAGATTCCTCGGATCTTGGATGACGTCCAGTGAGTGCACAGAGTGAAAAGTCCTGCCGGGACTGCCGATGATGGACCGCACGTCATGCTTTTTGGTACTCGAGGAGGAAGAGCTGCTGTCGTACTTCAGTGGGGTACCCTGAGGACAGAAGGCAGAGAGGATGTCAAAGGGGTGTAGAGCAGAAAGGGGTGCAGCAACCACATCCCACCAAATTTCAGCGGGGCTCATGCTTCCTCGTTCAGTGGGTCAGTTCACCAGTTTACTTGGTCAAACAGCAACAGCCATCAGCAAAGCAGAGATAACAGCTCCGCATGGCGCAGGGCAGGGTGGAGTGCCCATCTTGCATGTCTTGTTGTGCTCCAACAAGATGATGATGAGTCACTGCCGAAGGCTGGCTGTACCCATCACGCCTCTCTCCTACACACACTGTAAAATGAGGTAGGACTACAAGGTGCCATGGGAACCCTCCAAATATTTGGAGCCCAACAGGAGACAGCATGCTGTGTTTCACCCTAACTACTGGCCTTGCTGGGTTGACACTTGCCCATAAAGGGAGGAGACCAAGATTATGCACACCCGGAGTCAGAACTGCCGAGGGCACAGAGTTGACTCTGGCCTTGAACAAGAGCCAAATGTGTCCGCTTCCGTGTGTGCAGGTGGATGGAGCATCACTTTCTTAACACGTCAGGGGGTGCTGAGCTCCTTTACCCCGGTTTTGCATTTATCCGCTGGGAAGGATCACGGAATCACAGAATGGTTTGGGTTGGAAGGGACCTTTAAAGATCAAATGATGGGGAAGGGCAACCTGTACCCAAGCAGAGCCTCAGTTCTGACCAGTGATGTGTTTGCAACCCAAAGCCCTCTCTGCTCTCCTTTTACCTTGGGAAGGGTCCCCAGGGTCTGTACAAGGACAGCAGCCTGAGTGGGCCTGATCTCACCTGCTGTTCACCCCATACTCACCTGTGTGATGGAGCCTTCCTTCAGAGGTCTCGTCAGAGAGATGTCTGGTGTCCGCCTCAGCTCCTCCCGGGGAATCTCATGGATTGATCTTCCCGCTTCTTTCACCGTGGCCACCAGGCCCTCATGGGCTGGTTTCATTTTCAGAGGAGTAAGGCCCTCGTGAGACCTGACCTTGTAGGCATCAGATAAGTCCCTCGGTGGAGTGTTTTCCCTTTTGAGCTGTTTGGCTTCTCTTCTGAGGTAGTCCTCATGGGCCTCCACGTAGGACCGAGGTATTCCTGCAACCCCCAAGCAGATGATGGATGCAGAGGGTGATTCCCCAGCCAGACACTGGACTCCCAGTCCCTGTGCGGATGCTCAATTCCAGGGGCTCTCTAGTTAATGCATGTAACTTGGGGACTGGTACCCAACTGAGCACACAGAGCAGCTACATCACTAAAGCAGCTTGACCACCTCACATCTACCACCACTTTTTGGACCCATTTCACACTAGTTTCAACCCGCCTTCATGCAAGTCACTGGGAATTTTACCCCTGACTTTGGTGAGAACTTAGGTTGGTAGAAGCTGAGCAAGACTGAGAATCTCTCTGAGCACACAGCCGAGGCTGCAGCTGAACCTTGATGTGTTCATCCTTGCTTCCTCCTAGCCTGACAACAAGAACAAGGGGTCATCCATGTGAGATACTTGCCCACGTTACCTCTGGCCATGGCCATCTTCTGCTTGCAGTCTTTACCTTGTGTAATTGAGCCCCGCATGTGATGCTGCTCCTTTAGGTTATGGGGACTGTGTCGGTCTGGAGGGATCGCTCGACCCATGAGACCTAGACCAGATCCAAGGGGGAAAGAATACATGACAGTGTTACCAGGGACTCCTGGGACAACAAGGAAAAACATCAACAATTTCTAAATTACTTGATTTCTCTGTTTTTAAAATGTGCTTTGTTATTTTGTAGTCCTGAAACTGGTCTATCAGGACAGAAGCCAAAGGAAAATGGGCCAGTCTGTGTCCCTTGTTTTCCCATGCTGGTCAGACGCTGTCCTGTTGGGATGTGCTGCAGGGTACCAGCTAACCACTGCCAAAACACGGGCATGGGAAGGTGCATCATGGAGACAAGAGACAAGATGGGGTCTCTGTGGGTCACTACTAACACAGCATAGGTGAAAAGTTTCACCCAGACCCACCTTCAATGCTGGCAGATAAGGTATCACGGGCTGATAAGCCCCGGCTGATCCTCCCCTCCATCATATCATAGGTCCGCTTGGTTCCTGTGGTCTCATGGGAAGCTCCTGAGCTCCTGCTGTCTTCTTTGGGGCACTGAGAAGCAGCAACTCCACCTGAGGAAGGGAACACCGAGAAGCACCATCAGGAGCATGGAAAGTCAGCACTGGCCAAGGGAGGGTGTTTACTGCTGTTTGTGTGCGCTGCTGAAAGGTCAGATCCCATCCCAGCATCAGCCAACGCTCAGCAACGCCAGAAACATCGCATAAGGTTTGCTTCCAAGAAATTCAGCTGGTGTTTTCTCCCCTCCCTGCCTGCCTCAGACTCCAGATCTGTGCCTCCTGCTCGGGTAGGAGCATCCGCCCTGTCGTGTCCCACTCCCTCCCGCCCTGGTGGGGGCCAGATGTAGGCAGCGGGACAGCCCGGAGCCAGCGCGGTGCTGGTGCAAGCAGCTGTGGTTCTACTGAACTTGGCCCTGTGGGTTTGGGGATTTTTATTTTTTTTTCCCCCTGTTTGTTTTGATTTTTGCTAGACACCTACTGTTTGGGATCTTGGCCAGCCTTAACATTTGCCGAGACACTCCCTGGGTGAGAAAACCAGGGAAAAGGGGGGGAGAGGCAAAGCCGAGAGCAATTCCTTTGAAACAGCGTTAAGCGCGCACAAGAACTGGGAGAGACGGCAAAAAGTCCCACGCAGGACTGATGGAGCAAGCACCAGCGTGACTGGAGATCACTGACCACCTCCTCATCCAAACCTGGAGCAGATTCTTCTGCAAACCAACAGTGGACAACTGTCCTGAGCTACAGCCCCCACACCTCTGCAAGCACAGCCCTGCCCGCGCCAGGCAGCATCACGCCCGCCCTGGGCAATGGGCATCCATCATGTGCGGTGAGCTGTGAATTTAGCAGGCAGCTTCTGATCCAGCCAAATGCCTCATGTTTCTGTAATGAGCTCCGAGCGGGGATGTTGGCTTGGAGAGATAAACGCCTCTGCCCATCGTCCCTGGCCTGGCCACCCCTGCCAAGGATGCGCTGATCCTCCTCTTCGTGGGCAGAGAAGGTGGTTATACAATTAGACAAAACAGAGAAGAAGTTAAAAACATTCATTCCATCGCGGACAATTGGGAACAAAAGTCCTCCTCGACAAAACCGGTAATTAATAAAATGGGATTATTACACCTTCACACCCACTATCGGTTTCCACAATCAGCACCCACTCAATCCAGAAAGGGTTTGGGGCTGTGCGCGGGGAAAAAAGAAGGGGATCTGTCCCTGAGCCTTCACTTCAGATTCATTTGACGGGAGAAATCCAGGGGTGATGTTTAGAATCAGCCAAGCACCTTGCAGCAGATGCGGGGCGATGTGCCTGCACCCTGTCATCAAGGCACATCTGTTGCTAACAGCCCTTCTGCAGAAGGGGACACGGTCCCGGGCACCCTTTGTGCCGCTGGGAAGCAGGGGGAGGGTGCGAGGGAGACGAGAGACTAAACAGAAAGAAAATCACTCCAAAACCACGTCCCTTGCCTTGCAGAAGCCATCAGCAATCATATGCAGAATGAGAATAACCAATCTAGCACAATTCAGCTCGCACATGCTACAGGATCTCGTCTCATTACAGCTCTTTTATTTTAAGCACCCTCATGACACTAAAGAATTTGCAATTTTTTTTCTGCTTGCCAAAATTCATAATCACCAACAATTTCAGTTTCCTTATTTAATTTTTTTTTAACTCTTCCACTCCGGGCTGCGAAGCCTTGCTGGGCCGTACGGGGGGAAGGAGGCAGGCGGCAGGGCTGGCTAGGCTGCAGAAGCAGACGAGATTACTCAGGATGTGATAAATGCTATCAAGCATGTAAAAGGCTGCCATGGAGAGGAAGGAATTAGTTCCTCATCTGTGTCCACGGGGGGTAGGATGAGACGCGATGGGCTCAAGCTGCAGACGAGGAGACTCGGGCTGACACCGACGAGTGCGTGCAATCGGGACCTTGTCTCTCCCCTGGCGGCACCGTTTTTGAGATCAACCTCATTCAACTCCAAGCCCAGGCAAAGGAGATTAAAATAGCTTCTCGCACAAACAAGTCCTGAAACGCTTCCTGCGTCCTCCCTGGCCCGAGCCCTGCCAACTGTCCCAAAGGGCACCCAGACACAAGTCTCCCACAGTGACACTTCTTATCTGGGCTAGAGTTGACAGCGAACGCGAGCAGGCATGGGACAAGCTGGTTTCCACACGGCGGGAGAGAGGCACGGTGCAGAGCCCTGTCCTGAAAGGTCCCCGCGGTCCCAGGGCACACACAGAGGTAGCATCAGACAAAGCTTGTGAGTTGTCCCCCGTGGCCTGACCTGAACCCTCTGCCTCCAGCCCCGGATGAAACAACCAGCCCGCGATGAAACCAGCTGCCTGCACTTGTGGGCAAGAGGAAAGGGACTTCTGCTGGACACTCTCTGCCTGCAGGACTGACCACAGGGCCCAGGGGTGCTGTGTCTATAACTCAGCTCTGCCTGACCCCAGCTGTGAGCGAGGAGGAGCCCGGCTCCACGCCAGAGATGCCCGACCCAGCAAACGCCGAAAGGCAAGCACAGAGAAGTCGTTTCCAGCTTCACTGGAGAGGAACATCTGCTTATCTCTAACGGGAGCCACTGGGACTCGCAGAGCAGCTTTGATGGCCAGTGCTGCGATCAGATGAGCAGGCGCAGAGAAGGCAGGAGCAGCTGGTGACTGCCTGCTGATACCGCTAACACAGCGAGGCACCGTCGGCATTTACCAAAGAAGCGCGTTACCGTACAGCAGGGGTGCGAGCTGCAACATGGCTTTCAGGTCTCTCCAGAGCCCTCTCTGGAGCAGCCCGGCTGCTCGCCTGGCTTTGCTTTGCCATACTCTGCTCCCCCGGCTTTGCTTTGCCGTACTCTGCTCCCCCGCCAGGCAGGGTCAGCCCGGTTAACAAGTGACACCATCTGTGCTGGGGGCAGCTTCTCACCCTCCCATGGGGCTCCAGGCAGGTCCCTCTGGGTCCTCAGCGCCTCCGGGCAATAGCAGCCGGCAACAGGCCAATGCACCCCCCAGACAGGCTCCTTGCAGGACGCAGGAATGGCTTCACTCCCTCCAAGGGCTACAGACGCTGTAGCAAAGCTCACAAGATACTGAGGCGCAGTGCTGCCGGGCCCAGGAGGATTCCTGCAGGGTAGCCCTGTGCTGGGAAAGCTGCATGGTGCCCAAGATGTTGCAGGTAGGAATCTGATGTCCGAATAAACTTTTATGCCAAACTACCTGACTTGCCTCCATCTTGCAGGTTTTTGAGCCCCATGTTGGCCCAAGAGCCTGGGGATTCTCTCACGTTTTCAGACAGTCCCCTCCTGCACAGGGTGCTAGGAATGAAGGCAATACCTTCCCATCTGGTCCTCTCCTCTCCTCTGCTCCCTGAAACCAACCAAAACCAGAGACCCTGCCCACGGCCACAGCCCAGCCGCCTCCAAGGCAAGATAACCACATGGGACAGAGGGAAACCCAGCCGGGCTGTAGGCAGGCGGGGTGGGAAGGGAGAGAAATGACGCTGGAAGTAAAGACGCGAGGCTGACCTGTTGCACTTTGTCAGCCTTTCCTCAAATAGCTCCCGACTCCCAGCCACAGCGGCACAAACCCCTGGCGCCTGCCCTAAAAAGGCAGAGGATTACAACTTACCCTCGTAGGACAGCACGTGGCCTTTCTTCCCTTCATAGATGACATGTCCTTTGGGCATGGCATCCTCTCTTGCCTTCTCTGCTCTGCTGGGGCTGTCTTCTCCGATTATCCTGGTAATGGTTCCTTTGTACAGCACTTCTGCTGGGGTGCCCTTGGAAAGCCACCAAGATCCATATTTAACAGTGTCACAAGCAATTAAGCAAGCGCGTGCACAGGGACAGGCTGTTCCCCGCGGGAGGCTGAGCGGAGGGAGAGCGTGCCCGGCCTCCGCTTCCTGGCGCAGCCAACAGCGAGGGACTTGCAGCTTAATTATTGATGAGGAGGATAACAAGGAGCGGTAAAAAGGTACGTGATCTGTGCGAGGCTGCTGGGAAGAGGTGGGAGGTGAGGAGAGCGCAGACCTCTGAAACAGCAATTTTCTCGCCCTGTGTGTTTTGGAGTGAGCTACCCAGCTCGTTTCCACCCCACAGGTTTGAGGGGACAGGGTGGTGCTCCTCTGGGGACACCTTGGTGATGGCAGGGACTGCTCAAGCGTTAGTTTTTCCCTGCAACCTATTTTCCCAGCCTGGTACAGGAGCCACGGAGATGTCCTGCCCACCCAGGGCACATCTGCTGGCAGCAAGCGTGACCTTCAGAGAGCCGCCTGCGCGTGGGAGCTGGCGGCTGGCAGCACGCCCGGGCGAGACGGCAGGCGTCAATGAGACCGGTCCTGCAGCAGGTCGGGGAGCGAAGCCTGCCGGTTAGCTCTCCAACAGAAACAGCATCATGCTCCTTACACACACTGGTGTGAAGCAAAACCTCTCTTTCCCCGGAGGCACACATGGACACAGCTCACAGCCACCTGCCCCCTCTGAATCCCCCTCAAAACAGCCAGGGCTGGATGTCCTTGAAGCATTGCTGGTGATTAGCACCCCCCCCCGCCATCACAACCTATTGGTTCCAACCGGGAACAGCCACCATGGGGGGACAGTCCCCCCGCTCCATCACAGGGAAGGCACAGCGATGCTCTCGACTGACGCCCTCCTGCTCTGCTCGTTTAACCCCACCAACCCCCAGGACTGATGCTCGTGGGAAGCCTCAGGGAAGCGATGCCCCAGCCAGCTTTGCTGGTGCTTCCAGGTTGTGCCAGGGCAGACTATTTCCCCACCCCAGCTTGGAGATGCCCCTGCTCTGTACCAAGCCCTCTTGAGTGCCAGTGGTCCCCAAAACCCTGCCGCAGCTGCTGGGACGTGCCAGCACACAGGTTCAATGCTCTGACTGTTTGCCCTCGCCGTACACCCGGTACCGGCTTTCCCAGTCAGCTCTCCCAGCCCCAGGTAAGTCATCTTCCTTCCGTGGACGTGCTCAGAGGGGATTTGAAAGCAAGTGATGACAGATGGCTTCAGAGCAGAGAGCATATATTCAAGATCTGCCTTCTGCGAACTGGATGACTAATCTGAGATCAAATATCAGCTCTGGTACCCGGAGCTGCTGCTGGAACGGGGGGCTCCTTCTCCCCAGCGGGAGCAGAGGGATGCAGGCTGCTGGGCCGGCAGGAGAGGCAGGTAATGCTCTTGGTCTGGGCTTGGTACCTTATCCCCAAGCCAAACAAAGGAAACTAGATAGATTAATTAGCTGGATGTAAAATAGCATCTCAACAAACTCTGTTCATTTTCTGATCTCTGGCACATGGTGCTCAAGGCCCTTCATGCCCACCATTGCTGCCCACAGCGGCTGCAGGGGCATGCGAGGGGATGGAGCCTGCGAGGGGATGGAGCCTGCATTTGCTCCAATAGGTTATTTACGGCCCCTGAGCATCCATTCCTGGCAGCTGTTGGACACAGGGCACCAGGCAAGTTAAGCCTTTGCTCTGGGCTAGGATTCAGGTTCAGGTCCCCAGGGCCAAAGGGAACGTGGACACCCTCCTTGAAGGAGGCAGGCAGAAATCTGAGAGCAAGTGGCTTTAAATACGTGAATGATGGCCAGATAAAATCCCCACGGGAAACAGATTTTTCTTTTTTTTTTAATGCTCTCCGCTCTGTTACCAGATGAGCAATAACTCACACTGCAAAAAACTATCGCCCGCTTGCCAGCTGCTCAAAAATCCGAAGATGGATGGTGGAGATTAAGGCCAAAGTATCTTCCTGCTCAAGAGAGCCTTTGGGCAGGACCCCCGGCGCAGCACGCTCAGCCCTGGCAGGAGACCTCGCTACCTTACATGCACCTCGCAGCCTCCCCCTCTCCTCCGCCTGGCCTGGGCCCTCCACCCATCTCCTCCTCCTCTCTGCTCCACTTTCATGGACTGGAAAGATTATTTTCCCAGAGCCATTTAAAGCTGCTTTCGCCTCTGTTCCTGACAGCTACGAAAAGCAA